GTCACCCTATAGACAGTACATAATCGGGGTTATGGTACCGCGTAATACTTCGAAGAGTCTAGCTTGCGCGCCACACAGAAAATGCAGGACGAGTTTATTGCACTCCGGTCGTCGAGAGAAAATTTGCACTAATTCGGCGTGTCGGCCGCTAGATCTCCTCATGATGAACAAGAAAATCTTCTTCCGTAAAATATATTAAAGAGTAACAACTATAATATTACAGTAGTAATAATAAAAATATTATATTTTCCGTAAATAATTAATGTAAATATTTTTAAAACGTTACGTAAAAAATATAATAAATAAAATTATAATAAATTATAATAAATTTTTTCAAAAAACAAGATATTAGCAAATTGAAAATTCTCAACCTTCTTTTTAATTTATAGTTGAAACTTCTTTTCTTTTCTAATTCGAGTTTTAATTATTCATACTGAATAAAAAAATATTCTTAAAGTTTAAAGTTTACCGAGACGATTTAAAATGTCTTGTTTGCCCCGTCATCAAAATAAGTAATACGCTATTTATAAGATTAAATTATATATACAAGAAGTATATTTGTGGAATACACAGAGAAAGAGAGAGAGAGAGAAAGGGAGAGGTTTTTTGAACGAGACACCCGGTACATAGCGACGGCCGGTCATCGTTACGGTAGCGCGTAATACTTTACGGTTCGGCGTGTGTATTATCGCGGAATCGCGCAGGACAAGCGCAATTTTTGCATGGAAAATGGCGCTACGGTACTTTCAGCCTCGCCGCTCGCCCGCGGCAGACGACGAATCTAGGCTAGACCTAGGAACGACACGGTCATCGACCACCCTTGATTTTTTTTTCTAAAGACGGAGAAAGCCGCGTCGCGCAGTTCGATTTCCCGTTGATTAGATTATAACACCGTTGCAAAATATGACGCCAGACGAATTAATTACCATTAAAAGATAAGACGCGCAAGCGATCATGATAAATTCACGAAAATAGTTCGAGGGAAGTTTTAACTGCGAAATTATCTCCTAATTATATCTCTACTTATATGTTACGGTGTGTGTGCTATATATGTTTGTATTCGCACCATTTTAAAGACACCGTTGCGATCCTAATATTCTCCTCTTGTTCTGGTGATGTTTTAGTAATAACAATATTAGTGATAATAAAGATAAAATTAATTGTTTTCTCTTGGTGTAACGGTATATCGTTGCCGTTTAATTGGCGATCGATGATAGAAGACGTGTCAATAAATAAAACATTGGATTAGATCGAGCGATATGGAGGAACGAGAGTATCTGTGGATCTCTTCGGCCGCTTCGCGGACGCGCAAGAAAGTACGGATCTTTTCGATCAGTGCCCCCCCGTACGAAAAGTGCAACGACCGTTCCAATAAATCGACCGTCCCCTCCTCTCTGTTTCTCCTCTCTCTTTCTCTCTCTCTCTCTTTCTCTCTGTCTGTCTGTCTCTTTCTCTCTCTTCAACATCACCTCTTCTTCCTCCCCCCGTTCTACCTCCCACCCCAAAATGATTACATATACGCAAGTTCGCAGTGACCGCGGCTATACGAACCGCGGTCTGCGGATACCGTTATGTCACATTAGTAGGCACCTGCAGGCGTCATTATCCTCTCTCACGGCGTGCCATTCTCAAAATCGAAAATCACTTATCCTGTAACACGCGAGGAAACGGTACCGGTCGAGCTCATCTCGAAGAGATATCCTTATAGTCCTGCGACCTCGAGCTTGCAGGATGTTTTATTGGATATCACAATGTTATGACAAAAACAAACAATGCTAGATCGGTGATGATTTTGAACAAGTTTCTATTGCGCACACACTGAATGTTCAAAACATCTGGAGAAAAATTTTCAGGTTTGTTTTAAAAAAATCTTTTTGTTTTATGAATTCTACGTGTACAGAAATGCTGCAAAAATATATAGTACGTAGGAATTTTTTATACGGATGAGACAGTATGTGTAATTCAGTGCTAAATTATGTTAAAGTTATGCAAGTTTTATATTTTTTGTACATTGAATTATTTGTTTTGCTTCTGAGCTCGAATTAAGCGCATTATCACGAGGAAAGATTCTGGAACTTTCTTTAATCGAAAGAGATTTCTGGAGATTTCTTTTCCGATTGAATGTAATTACTTAATTTACTACTTCTTCTTTCTGAAGAGCAGACGCGAATCAATTACGTACGAAATCTATTTACTCGTAATTGTGTAAGTAGATCGAAAATGGGAAATTCCTAATGCACTTAATGATATTTCCTAAATTTACGTAGCCTTTGCGAACAACCAGTCAATTTTTTATGCATGCAAACTGCTCATGCATTTTTGCATATATCAAGTTAGAAACATGTAAATTAATTCATTCAATAAGAGTTTGCGTTTATATTTTCAATAATACAATATTTCTGTTTTTTTTTTATAATTTAGGTAACTCTTATGAAATTATTAATAAATGCAAATTTTTTAAGAATAATTAATGTAATTACTTACTTGTGTGTTTTCTTTTATTTCGTAACTTTATAACATTTTCTGATAATTAAAATTAAATTTAAATTATTGACATTTCACTTTTGTCTTTAACGATATTTATGCAGTACGACATTCGATAGTGGCAAATCTCCGTATTTCTTTTCAATGCAACGACCGAAAGGAAACGCGGGTCATGGGTACAAAGGACTTCCGCTCTTGGCTTCCCTTATATCTCGTAATCCTTTTGACGCCTGAACAATTTTCCACTTTCTCATCTTTTTTTCTTCCTGCCCTTTTCTTTTTTTTTTTTTTTTATCGTGGAATAAAATTTTGTTGAAAAAATAAAACTATCATTTTTTCAAGCCGAGGTTTCTCTCGGTCGGTTACGGTGTCGACAAAATTTCGTTTGGTCGAAGAAAAAGTGGGGAACCACAACGGGACACCGTTATGTCATATTAGGGAATATGTGCGTTTAACGGTAGTTTTGTTACGACAGACAATTTAGATGATGCTATTGATAAACTGCGGAATGTGATACTGGCTGTTGTAAAATCTGATTTCTTTATCATTTTTCTCAGTAAATATATTTTGAGTATTGTTATATTTTACAAGACTCTGCTTGTATTATTACTTTTTTTTCACACTTTTTCGGCTTGGTGCCGTTAAGGAGATTTGAAAGATCAAGCGTGAAGAAAGACTTTTTGTATTCGAAGAGCATCTCCCGTGACATAACGCATATATATCGAAGAGTTCAAAGTACTCAGTACTGCCTCGTATATATTCATTTTCGTTCCGCGCGATTATGCTCGCCGTTTTATTCGGCGTGCTTTGTCGACGCCGCGGCCTGCGTCTCGACGGACCGTTATGCAAAATTGCGTAATTGCCGTACTTGATCGTTCGTTGTATTGCGGCTAAATTCATTCGGTTTTATTTCAGTTCCATTTATATTGGCACGTGAATTCTCGTATTATTAACTGCGCGTAATTGCGCGGCTATAAAAATAATCGAGCTAATGCGGTTTAACCAGATTGGCGCGTGTCGTCAATAGCTGATTTATTTATGACAATCCGTATGGACTATGTAACAGTTTTCCGATAAACTCGCGAACGCGCGCTAGCAATAAGCGTGACGACGAATATTACGCTCGAGTTTATTTCACGTGTGTGAGCAAAGCGTTTGCTGTTGACCAATCATTCGACGATAATTGTCTGCTATATTAATTTAATTTGCCATATTGCTAAGTTATACTGCAATGATAATGAAATATAATTGAATGTAATAAAAAACAAACATGCGAATCTCCGTCATTGAAGGGACGGAATATATTAGATGTGTGGATAAGACTTACTTCCTGAATACTCTAGACCAATCGAATGAACAAAATATCCATTTAATTCTCTTCTTTTTTCCACATTCATTGATATTTAATTGTCTGATTAATTAATATTCAGATATCAAACATGTCTCTCAGAAATGTTCATTAAAACCGTAAATGTTTATTAAATGTTAATTAAGACAGATTTACTTCAGACATTAAAAATCGAGATGTTTCTATCGAACCAGATTTCTGGCACGTACATAGAGAATTGAGACAATTCTGCTTTCTGACACGTACAAATTAATTAAATTAATGACTTTAGTGGACTGCAGTCAATTTATTCATCAGTTAGTTATATATCTATGAATATTCAATAACAAATATTAAAGGTAAAACAACGTTTTGCATTGATAATATTAATCGCAAACACTCATTGAAAAATTTCATTATGTAAAATGTTATTATATAAACACATTTTACTTCTATACGTATCTAGAATTTATTTATTTACAATTTCGAGACAACAGATTCCGAGAGAACTTGATTTTTACAGAGAATTGATGCGAAAACTGTATTCGATAAGCAATATCGTTTACTAATAGGAAGTACATGGTTCAAGGATTTCATCGTTATGAAATCGTTGAATAATTTCATAGCCATTGTCATGCATAGCTCACGATCTGATAACTCAAATTTGCCTTTCAGAAGCAAATAGATTTTCTTTATACTCGCTCCAAAATGACGTAATTTTCACATACTCGGCAGTTGGCCGTGACTTTTGGACCATCATCTCGAATTTGACTTCTCGGAGAAGAAGCATTTTTATAAAATCCCAAAAAAAACTTTACATATAGCTTTATTTATAATTATTTCTTTTATGTGAGTTTTAGGATGACTTTAGAAAAAAGATCTCAAAAGAGCGTTGCGACAAGTTATTTGACTTCCATGTAAAATAAAAATTGTAAATTCTAGTTTTTTCTAAAGTCTACGACAACGCGTGACACAGCTACGTCTGAGGTTAAGTTCATTATGATTGTAGTGTCACCGAAAAAATATATACTCACGATGCAAGTGTAAGCGCGACGTATTAATTTGTGGCATTTACTATAAAGTTACAAAAAGTGGAGCTGTGCACTTTGGCTTTCAATTTTTTTCCAAATTATTATAATTCTACGACTAATAAAAAAAAAAAAAAAAAAAAAAAAAACTATAAACTCACTTTGTGCGACTCCTGTCTGCCCGGAAGACGATGAATCCTCTCACGACAGAACTATCAAAGTTCACACATTAAAGCCACTGACATATCCGGTGCTGTCCAACTACTTGTTCACTGTAGACAATCCTTAATTGGTTCTACGAATTCTTGACACTAACTAGAAAATAAACGATATTTTGTTTCTCAATGTCACTAATGTTCAGTATTTTCTACACTCTGTTTTCAACGTAAACGCGCGGCGTGTTTGCCGGTCACGAGGTGGCGGTCGAACTGGGAGTGCGGCCCTCTCGTAATCGCGCGCTTTAGGACCTCTCTCCTCTCTCGCGCTGTTTCTCTCTCTCTCTCTCTTTCTCTCTCTCTCTTTTCTTTTTTTCTCTTAATTCGGCAGTCGAAGAGGACCGCTTCGTCCTTGACGTACACGGTCGTGTACACCGTGCTAAGCCGCGTGGTTTCAACTGACGGGTATCAGAAGTGGCTGAGGTGAGTCTAGGTGAATCTTCTTGCGCGCGTGTGTGTGACCGACCACACAGGTAAGCCGCATGTATCGCGGTTGCGGATGCATATGTGTTGTGCGTATGTGGAGGGGACCGAGGAAGGAAGAGGAGGCAATGCCACGATCACGATGGGGCTGACTCTTAAAGCAAGAGTTTCTGTTCTCTTTCTACGGCACTATGGTGAACACCTCGCGTTGCCTCTCTCTACTTCTTCCTTTCGCACGTTTGTTCGTCGTTACGTTTGTTCGCTCGTTTCTTCGTTCTCTCCGTTCGTTCTTCTCCGCGTTCACATTGCCGCCTTTCCTTGCCTGTTGATTCTCTCTCCCGTGTTAGCACTTACTCGCGCAAGGCGCACAGGCGGCTATTCGTTTCGTTCGTGCGGGCTTGTGCCGGCATTCCCCATCGACAGGAGCAACGGTACTCTTCCCCACCCCCGTTTTCAGGCATCGAGTTCTTCTCTCCCGTGTGTACGCTGCCATTCGCCTTCTTTACCTCCTCTTGCACCTCTTCCTCCACTTCCTCCTCCGCTACCTCCTCCACCTCGTTCTCATATACCTTTCGCCTGTTTCGGATCCCCCTTTCCTCGTCCTCCTTATCACCGTGCCCTGTGTCTCTCGAATCGTCGTTGCCTTCTTCCTTCGCGTTCGTCGCCCGTTTCATTTTTCGCTCCGAGTTCTCTTCTCGACACGCCGTTCTTCTCTTCTTCCGTGGAAGCTCGTGTTTTTCTAATTTCTCGGTCTCTTACGTCATCATTGATTTCTTCGAGTTTCTTTTTCATTCTCGCTCTATTTCAATTTTAATGGGTCGAGACAGAGAGAGAGAGAAAGAGAGAGAGAGAGAGAAGAGAAGAGAAAATAAATATAATTTATAAATCACACTTTGCTAGATCGCGAAAAATCATCACCAATTATCTTTTGTCTCTCCTTCTGTTTTTTTCCCTGTCTGTTGAGTCGTCCCACTTCTCTTCTTCTCTGTCTCTCACTCTTTCTATCGTTCTTTCTCGCTCTGTCTTTCGCTCGTATAATTTTCCTCTGTCCTCGTTGGTGTGTACAGGCGCGCGTAGGCCTCTTCTTCCGTCTACTGTCTCCTCACAAACAGCATACGCGAGCGCGGCTTCCAACTCTTCTGGTTACTGACCTCCGAAAATACGAGCTGACCGATGGATGCCTCGGCCGTGGACAGCAAGGTTCTCCTCGCGAATACTCGTTTGTGCCCCCATCGGTCTCCGAAATTCTTAACGGCCGAGAATCTTTAACGACAGAGAGAATCTTGAGGCCGTCGATGAGAAACGTTCGAGGTGACCGATAATGCCGGCGACCATCACACGCGTTTTGCAATTTTATTTCGCTATTTTCAACCGCGCGCGAAAGTTATATTGCGTTTCTCATTATCCTCTTGCTATATAATTCTTTTTTTTTTTTCAAAGTTTATATCTTTAAATTTTCTCTCGCAACGTTGTAAATCGCAACATTTTAATTTTAATGACCGAGGTCTATTCCCCGCTCGCCATGATCAAGATAAAAGCGGCTTGATCGAAGAGCGACAATTTTGCGCCGTCCTTTTTCTTTTTTTGCGTCAACACAAAAAGATCAGCCTCGCCGTGGATACGTACAAGTGGGATATAGAGATACGGCTACGGCTTCATCAGCATCTGGCGCTTTGCTTTGCGCTCGCGGAGCCTCGTATCTGGCATTGAAGTCTCCGGAGTAGACGCCTACGTAATTCCTCGCGCGCGACCACGACAAGAGATCGACTCTATCCGATTTATAAATCGGCCGTTCTGTATGTTACGTAACGCGTACGCGAAGCAAGAGAATCATTGTGCTGCAAAAGACGTATCGATCGTTTATACAATATTTCGAGAGAAGCAACGGATAAATTTTTATTCCCACCAAAAATCGATGCATCTCCAATGTATCAAATCGATTGAAAAATTATTGAACGTTGTATGTATTTTCAAACAAGAGATAGAGAGATCTACTGCGTAAATATTCTCTTGTTTGTCAGGTAAGACATTGAAAAGGACGTAATCTGCAGTAATATTGTTTTAGTTTTTTATTAATTACAATAAATTTGTATGTGCGTAATAAACTTACAATATGTTATTACATAAACTCACAAGAGTAAAACTTTGTGCAAATTTTCACTTTTAATACGGGCGCGCGAAAACTTTTAATCTTACAAGGTTATATTTCGTGGTGCGAACACACATCTTTTATACCTCGTGTTATTGTTTCTGAAGAGGTTTAACATGACATGGTTAAAGGCAATCTGTGAACCATTGACATTTCACATCAATCATTGTCTGACGATGATTCGGAATAAGAGGAGGAATAAGATGGGCGCGCTCGTTGAAAGAGAGGATGCGATCAGAACAGGAAATCGCTACGGTAACGGAATATCATTAAACATAACACATGCGCGTTCTCGGAATGGAATGTTGTTACATTGAGATACGTAATGTCTCCCGATATCCTTTCGCCTTTAATTAATTCTTTTTACGATCGCCGATTAAATTCCGGATTACTTGTGTGTTAAAAGCATAAGCAAGACGCGTTCGACGAGAATTAAATTTATGTTCTGTTTATGAAACGAGATTCGCGCATTTTCTCCGAGAGGGGCCGGAAAGGAGGTGTCTTCGGTAAGGACTGCGAAAATGGGGACTTAGATACTCATCGCATTCGAATAACGGTCTCTCTCGCACGCGCGCGCGCGCGCGAGAACTCTCTAACGTCATTTTGCACGGTGTTAAAGCGAACGTCCGCGAGGAAGAAGAGTTAGACGTGGAATAGGACTCCGGCGTTCGCCTCGAATGCGAAAACGCTAATAGGCGAGTTTGTAGGAGGAGAAGGTGGAGGCGAGCGATCGCCCGTACCGTGCCGGAGCGGGTAACCGGAACGGAACGGAGCGATCGCGAGTGGTTACTGACCTCTAGAACCAAGCACTCTTACGCTTGCACTACTTAGCTAACTTGTCGTTACCGCGCGCGTTGCGTACGGCACGCAGCTGGTCACGCTGAATCGCCACTTTTCACGGCGATACCTGCGGTTTTACCTTCACCTTGATGGGGACCTCTCGGTCTTGCCGGGCGATTTCGCAACTCGCACAATTCGAAGAAACGATTTCGACTAGGTTGCCTGACGAGCAACCTTGAGTGAGGTTCGTAATTCATCGGAACCGAAGTTTTTGTCAATTTCGTCATTCAAAAAGAAAAAAAAACAAACAAACCGACCGTTTGAATTGTTTAAAGCGTCAAATACTCGATACGCGTCAAATAATTTAATATTTATTTTGAAAAGGTAATTTTATAAGTATTCCCTTTTTTTTTTATTTAGAACCGCGCAAAGTGCGTTTCATTGACGAAGCATCCGGAGCGTGGCTCTCGACTGACTGTTCGGAGATCGACTTTCGAACGGAACTCAAATTAGAATCACGTTCGCGGAATCGGGAGAAAAATTGGCCGATTTCCCTCGTCGTCGCCGATGTTTCGCGAGAGGCGGACTCGACGTGGAAGCGCAAAGTAAGACGCGACCGGCAGAGATGGCCGACGCGGCGCGTCTCGAGTTCGTTAACCCCCTTTGAAAATACTCTCCTTACAACACATCGTTACCTGCTGCACACGCCGCGATTCTCCGGGATGCACTAGTTTACTTCGCGCATCGCCGCCACCGCCGTCCTCCTCTCCTCGTCTCTCTTCTTCCGTCTAGCGCGCCGTACACGTTGAAAGACGCGTGAGATACTTCGACGCGTCTCCGCACACCTCGCGCACGTATCATTAGAAAAGCCACTTCACCTACATCGAGAGACAGAGAGAGAGAGGAGAGGAGAGACGGCTCTTTCTCTCACGAGATCGCGTCTCGCTTGTGGATCGCCGCGAAAGAGCGATTACGGTCGCGCTCGGCGATCCACCATTTTCAAGATCTCCCATTGAAGATGATTAGCATTGAGTATTAGGCCGAGCGAGGATTGCGCGCGTCGCCGGAATAATTCGGTTGACAGGATTCATTAATCTCTGAAAAGATGCGGATTCTCGTGAACTAAACTTCGCGATGCGCGAAGTTTAATTATACAAGCAAAAGCACTTGTTATTCGATAACAAAAAAAAAACAACCTTGGCCTCTTTTATCGAAAAATTGCAAATAAGTTTTGAGTTAAAATATTCCGTACGTGTGCAAATAAATATGTAAATTGAAGTCGGGAAGGATATGTAAATTGTGAGTATTTTTAGAAAAAATGTCCGTTTTTTTTTTGTTTTGTTTGGAGAAAAGAATGTAATCACACACAGGTTCTAAATCAAAAAGGGGAACGAACTATCTATACAAAGTGTTCTGTGTGTTTAAGAGGCTCAATATATCGGAAGTAACTTTCGTAACGGTAAGAACGGTAATGCCGAGCGATAGTCATAAAAAATTACATCGCTGACAGCTATGATCGTTTCGGTCGACGCGCGGCGCAAAGTTTATCTTATCAATGTACGAGGAGGCTGAACACTCTCTTCGCGAGATCAGGTCCCGCTCTTCTCTCGACGGAACTGTTAGAGTAAATGCAGCAGCTACCGTTGTCAGAAAGATGAGCGGCGCGCGATCTCGCCGGAAGAGACGCTGACTTGCATTGTATATTTACGGAGGCGCGCGCGTAACGGAGCGGGCTCCTATCCGATCGTTATCGAATTTGATCGACTTCGATCGCGAACCGAAAAGCATTCGAAGTGTTACCGAAAAAAACAAAATCGTAGCGATAACATCGCGACAAAGAAAACGGTCGTTTCGTAAAAATTGTTGTCTCTTGTTGTTTTTATTCATTCCCGGGAACACCGAGTAGAAAAAGAATTCGATAAAATTTCGTCGACTTAAAATAATGCGTCTCTCTCTCTTTCTCTCTCTCTCTTTGTGAGAACCCTTTAAATGAGTTCTTCCTCTATCACGGAAAAAGATATTGCTCCTTTTATCCCCTACAGCGCTAAGACGCGCTAGCAACTCAACTCACTTCACCTACATCGAGATTGTGTCGCGTCTGGGAGACTAATTGGCTATTATCGGGGAGAGCAACAAGAGACATGGTTTATCCAAAAACAGATTGTGTACTGCTTACACAGGAACGTATTATCGGACGGCTAACATTATATACATATGTGCGCATATGAGGTGCTTTTTATAAATTCTTTATAAGTCGATCTTGCACGTAAGTTGAACATATTAACGGATAACTATTAATACAGATGAAATTAAAGATTATTCTGTGTGTGTGTGTCTGTGTTGAAGCATCGGTGAGTTTTTTTTGCGGGCACACGTTATTGTTAATTATTATAAAATAGTTGCTCTCTAGCTATTTCCAAACACGGTATGAATTTTGGATATTTTCGACAAATGTCTGGCACATCGGTTAAATTGAGATATCTGTTTAAATTTGATATTTCGCGACTTAAAAACGATATAACGACGCGTCTGGCTTTATCGAAATATTTCTGTTAATAAAATCATCATGAAATATATCTATTTCCGCTGAGAACAAATTCTGCTTGACTTCGATGCATTTTGTGTGTACTTTTAACATCGCCTTATAAATTGATTTATAAGTAGATATATCAATTTTTAGATCTGTCTTTTGTAATTTACGATAAAAGACACTTCCGGCGGCGAACGCTTTCTTACGACTCTCCACACATAAAAAAGATTCCTCGTGTGCTGGGAATTTCATCTCTTATGACTAGTCCCGTAATAATCTTCCGTGAATACGATCCTCGCGACTACGGAGCCGCAGCATTCGATCGTAGACGTATTGACGGTCGAAAGGGTCCCGTTCCCCGAAAGCCGATACTGCGGGCGCATCTGCGCCGGAGCCCGGGTTCGTTCACCGGCGAAGGGCCGAACAACGGAAGGTGGGCCCTGAAATTCGAGCACTACGTCCCTGACAGTCTCAACGTGTGACTAGCCTAGCAGACGGAGTACTGTTAACTCTTCCGGGGGCTCGGGAAAGCAGCGTCGATCAAGCCCGAAAGATGTTCCCGGGAGCCAGCGGGGGCACCCGGGAGACAGAAGCGAACGTGTGTCCCGTACGCTGGAATCCCAGCGTCGTCGGTGCGTGTGTGCACCATAAGTAA